AAGAAACAACATTGATCCCAAAATGGAAGGAGCCTTGGGAGCAATGCCCCCATTTAACAGATAAAAACACTAAGGCCCAAAAAAGTTAAATGATGTGTGTCAGAAGTAGGATGTGAACCCAGGGTATAAGTTAGACCCAAGTAGAATGTAAATCAAACATCAGACTTACACATTCAAAGCATTCGTATAGCAGCTGTGGGGACTACGCTTTAGATGAGAGACAGACAGACAGAGGCACAGACAGAGACTAGAGACAGACACCAAATGGAAGGCTATTCAACAGTTCAGGCAAGAGATGATGAGCCACTCAGCTAAGACAGTGGCTGTGTCACTAACAGAAAGAAGGGTGTGGATGAAAGACATGTTCAGGAGGCTGAATGGACAAGATTTGGCACTTGGTTCAATGGGGTAAGGCTTCCTGTTTGGGTATAGATTAGACTGCATGGCTACTGAGTTTCCTTCCATCTCTGATAATTTATTCAATCAATGAACTTTGGGAGGTTGCGTCTCTCGGAATGGGCTTACATACTTCCTGAAAGCATAGGCGGTTCAGGCCCTAATCCTTTTCCAATGCCGTATATAGGAAACAATTTCCCCTTTCATCAGTTGAATGCAAAAAGCTGATGTTTGGTTCCTAATGCTGTTTTCTTGTGCTTTGCTATAGACGGCAGAGATTGAAGGGGAACAGAAGGCTAAGAGCATTGACTCCTAGAACATCAGAGCTGGGACTGATCTTAAAACATGGAATGTCAGACCTGAGAGGATCCTTAGAACAGACAATGTGACAGTTTAGAAGAATCTTAGAACTGAGTGTCAAAACTGGGAAAGTCCTTAGAACAGAGGATGCCAAAGTTGGGAAGGGCCTTGGAACAGAGAAATATCAGAACTGGGATGGGCCTGAGAACATAGAATATCAGAGGTGGGACAGGCTTTAGAACAGGGAAAATCAGAGCTTAGGGGGACCTTAGAACAGTAAATCTCAGAAACGGGAGGGGCCTTAGAACAAGGAATTTCAGAGCTGGGAAGGCCTTAGACCAGAGAATGTCAGAACTAGGAGGAACCTTAGAGGTCTCCTAGCTCAATCTCCTGATTTTATAAATGTGGGAATTTATGCTCAGATTCTCTCTCTCTCTCTCTCTCTCTCTCTCTCTCTCTCTCACCCTCCCTCTCCCTTTCCCTGTCTCTCAGTCTCCGCCCCCTCTCTGTCTCATATCTCTCTCCCCTCTCTTTCTCTCTCCCTCTCTCCTGTCTCATTCTTCTCTCTCTCTTATATACATATAATGTATATAATATATAACAATATATAAATAATATGCAATAAAGAAGGAGAAAGAGTCAAAGCCAGGCCTCAAGCTGAGGTTTTATGATTTCACCTCTTTGTTCAGAAGGTTCAGAAAGCCAGGAGGCCCAGGTCACAAGTCAGCAAGCTTTCCACAGTGGATGCCAGAGTGGCCCATATTCCTTTCCTTCTGGAGTGCTATTTTGGGAGGAGATGGGAAGAGTGAGGCGCTAGGCCCTTCTCTTTGCTATCTTGTGGCAATAACTGTGTATAACTTCTCAGATTAGGTATGTGAATGAGAAGAATGGATTCTGACACCTGCCCAGTAAGGATGACAATGGTCTAATGAGCATGGTGGCATGACCATAGTGAGATGCATGCTGGGGTCCACATACCACTGAAAAATCAGCCTGAGTGCAATTTTTTTGGTAGGGCCAGGCAATTGGGGTTAAGTGACTTGCCCAGGGTCACGCAGCTAGTGAGTATGATATGTCTGAGGCTGTATTTGAACTCAGGTTCTCCTGACTCCAGGGCCTGTCCTCTATCTACTGCGCCACCTAGCTGCCCCAACCCTGAGTGCAATTTTCAACACATTAGCTTTGGGTTTTTGCATCCCGGTTTGGAAATTATTATTATTATTATTATTATTATTATTATTATTATTATTATTATTATGCATTACTAATGTGCTACTTAGTTTCTTTCATAGGGAAAGGAAGGAAACAAGCATCTATTAAGTGCTTACTGTGTGCTAAGCACTTTACAAATATTATCTTATTTGGTCCTCACAGCAATCCTGAGAGGTAGGTGCTATTATGACCCCCATTTTTCAGATGAAGAACCGAGGCAAACAGGGGGTAAGTGACTTGCCTAGGGTTACATAACCAGTAGTCATCTGAGACTGGATTTGTACCCAGGGGCTTTATGCTCTAACCATTGTACCGCTTAGCTTCCCTACACAGAATCTCATTGGTATGGGCCGATGGTGCACACTTGGAGCACATTATCTATAGGGTTACAGGTCCTGATGTTGACCCTCCACAAAGCCATTGAGAAAAATGTTTTAGGAAAAAGCCAAATCTATGTGTTATACTACCATCGATAGGTTGGTTCCAGCTTTCCAAAATGCTTTTATCCCAACAACCCTACCAGGCAGGTGGTGAGCATGATATTATTCCCATTTTACAGATGAGGAAATGGAAAGTAAGAAAACTTAAGTGACTTCCCCAAGGTCACATAACTGCTAAATGTCAGATGTAAGATTTGAACCCAGGTGTCCAATTGGACAAGCCCCTTGTCCAATGTTCCTTCTACTATTCCACATTCCTTCTTGAGGAAGAGAGTAAAGAGTTCTATTTCTGCCAAGGGCTAGTCAGATGAGTAATATATAATATTATTTTATTTATGTATTTATTTAAAGTACTTATTTACTAAGCACTTAATATGTGCCAGGCGCTATGCTAAGTGCTGAGGATATGAATACAGGAAGGAAGTCAGTCCCTCCCCTCATGTAGCTTACATTCTAATGAGGGAAGATAACACATAAATGGGAAACTGAAAAGGAAGGTGCCCAGTGTAAGGTGGGAAAGTTCAGAAAATGAGGGGTGGCTAGTCTGGCCTCTCCCCCAAACTCTGAAGGAGATGGTGAGTCTGGACTCTTCCCCAGAATGGAGGTCCCAGGAAAAACGCACCAGTGGGAGAAGTTGGAGGGAAGAGGCATGTTGGTGAAGTCCATACCCCCACCAGTTTCCCAGTCACTGCAAGACACAGCATGCAGTGCAGTTCAAGATGTAGCAATAAGGGTTGGGAATACAAAATTCTCAACCCAGGAACCTATTAATCCAGTCTTAACATTGGACAAGTCAGTATTCTCCCCTAAGCCTCAATTTGCTCATCTGTAAAATGAGGGCATAGATGACCTTTAAGTTCACTTTCACCTCTTACTCTAGGATACTATTAATGCCAACTTAATAGTCCACTTTCTACTAGCAACAGCCATTCCCTTCTCTGAGCCTCAGTTTACTCATCTGTAAAATGAGGGGGCTGCGCTAGTCAATCTCTGTGTTGCCTTTGAGTGCCAAATCTAGACTTCTCAAAAAGCAATTAGCCCAAGAAGGGGCCAACCAATGTAGATGCAATTCCCAGACCATCCCAATGGGCCCTCTATGAAACTGACATTCTGCTTTCTCTGAATAAAGCAAAGCATGTGGGTGATTAAGCTCTTTGGAGGAAAGCTGTTCCAACTGTTGAGGGGGAGATGTGTCAGATGGGAGCTGGTGACCTCCAGAAATAGAAAAAAACTGTTGCAGCAAGGCAGGCATCTTTGACTTCTGGGGCTGAATCCTACTCCTAGAGGATGCTGCTGGCTAGGAATGGGGAACAGCAGAGGAGAGCTGGAAAGACACCTTAGATCCAATCCAGCTTCCTTATTTGACAGATGGGGAAACTGAGGTCCAAAGGGGCAAGTACCCGGCCAGAGGTTGTATATTTATCAGAAGAACCAGGATTGGAACCCAGGAGCCATAGGATCATAAGGTCATGGATTTAGAGTTGGAAGGGACTCTAGAAGCCATTTTATTCAACTCACCCCATTTTATAGATGAGGAAACAGGCACAGAGAGGTTGAGTGATTTGTCCAGAATCATACAGCTCATGAATGTCTCAGACAAAATTCCAACCTAGGTATCTCTCCTTGCTCTGCTATGATTTGCTTGTGGTACAAAGCTGTTGTCAATTTTTCAAGGTTTATTTCTGGGTTAGAAAAATCCACACACCCCCTCAATCCCCTCTCCTTGACCCTGACACCATGGTAAAGGGATTGCAGTGGAACTATGCAAGGTGCAGATAATAATCATAATTCATCTCAGTTAGATAATCAGGTTGAAAAGGAATTTTCCACTCATCAGCATTGTGAGCTAAGTGGTACAAAGAGAGCCATAGCTGGGTGGAGTGACGGGCATTTTGCCTCATGGTGCTGACAGGACCAATATTTATTCTCTTAGCAACATAAAAAGAATAGAGCATAGAAACCAGATATCAAAAATAATTAGAATAGGAAGATACCAGATGACAGACTAGGTTGAGTTTTACACACACACACACACACACACACGCACGCGCGCGCACACACACACACACACACACACACACACACACACACACACACACACATAGAGCAGTGACTTGCCCAAGGCCACACAGGTAGTAGGTATCAGCTGTTAGACCTCCATCTTCTGGGTTTAAGAAAAATACTTTTCTACTACCTTAAACTCCCAACTCCAAGGCTTTGGCCACCCTTATCTGCTTCCACTAATTAACTTTGGCTCTTCTGGGTAGTGGCAATAATTAGCACCACTTCTAGGCTTCCTTTCCCCTGACTGCTTGTCTTTTGCACTGCTTGGAAGGCTCAAACAAAAAGGCAGAAAGATGCTGAGTTGTCCTGCCTGAACAGGAGGAGGGAGGAGAGGAGCTTGGGAGGGGGAGGGGGGCATAAATGAGGGGTTTGGCCAGGGACTGACTCATCCAATGAGGCTAGGCTGTTCTCCAGAGAACCAGCGGTGGATGGGGGAAGGGGGGAGGGAAAGGGGAGGGAAAGGGGATGGAATGAGGCAGCATTTTAGTCCAATACCAGAATCACAACGTGAGGTCTCTAAAGCCTCTGAGTTCCTCTCTTCCTACCTACCTGACTCCCTAAGACAAGATCTCCCTCCCTGTTCTTCAGACTTTCCTTTCCTATAAAATGGCCCAATGTTTGTTCAAGGTGAATCATTTGGGGCTGCCTGCATCAAAGACCATGTAAGTATATTATTTTCATTCTAACCCTAGGCTCTAGAGCTGGGAGGTAGTTTGGGGACTTTCCAAACCCCTCATTTTAACAGAAGAGGAACTATGGAGCTCAGCCTGGGGAGGCAATTGTCTATAGTTACACAGCCTGGAAATAGCTGATCCAGGGTTTGGAGCAATCTATTACCCTTCTATTTAGCTACAGAAGGGAATTCTCCCCTCACCACCCACCTACCCTCAACCTCAGTTAGCTAGACGACATTTATCTATATTTTTGAAGTTACCTCATTTAGTCTTTGTAAACAATACTGTGAGGTAGGTATTGCTATTATCATCCCCATTTTAGAGATGAGGAAACTAAGGCTGAGTTTAAATGACTTGCCTGGGCCCATGTAGCAGATTTGGTGTCAGGAATGGCTTGTTTCAAAATCTGACACCAAATGTGTGGTCCTTTGGATGTCCCAAACTCATTGAACCTTAGTCCCTTTATTTGCAAATAAATGAGATGGATTGATAGCTTCTGGGGTCCCTTCTGGCTCTAGACGTAGGACCCTATGAGATGAATAGATTGATGTAATATTTGGGTGTCTGAAGCCCTGATCTGTCCACTCTCTGCCTAATAAATGAAGGCTAGACCTTGGGGCAGTGAAGTGATTCATGCCCTTGCTAGCTGTTGGAAAGGGAGGGATCTTTAGGGATTCTGCCTCTTCTCTTTGAGGTTGAGGGTGTCCTGCCATGGGCATTCCTGAGTTTTCTGGTCCAGGGAAAGAGGAGAGGGAAGAAGCTTTGAGGATTGGCCCTGCACACAAGGGAAGGAGGGCCCCAGTGGTCCCTTTGAAAGTGGGCAGGCTTTACCTTCAGCAGCATTCTCAATGCGGCTGAGACTTCCATCCACTGACTGGTGCACTGCTGTTCCCTGCAGGAACTGGTGGGGGGGGGAGGGAGGGAAGGAGGAGGAGGAGACAGAGGAGGCGGTAGCTTGCTGCTGCAGCAGCCTCGGTTCTAGGGGCTGAAAAATCCCTTTGTTGTCTGAGCGTGACAGTTTGGGCATGGTGCCAGGCTCTTTGGGATCAAGGAAGTTGGAGGATGGCTGTGGGGGCTTCCTATTCCAGAGCGGGGGAGCTTTCTGCTCCTCAGGTCTGCCTGGGCTTTTCACGAAGCATCCAGCCCTCAGGATCATTGTCTCTGCCTTGAGGGAGAATTACTGCTGCTTGGCTGGGGCCCAGCATTCTGAGATGTGCCACTGAGAAGCTTTTGAGGGGGAGAATGTGGGTGGTGACACAGCCCAGTGTGCAAGGAGCCATCTTCCAGGGAAGCCTCTGCTCTGCCTGCTTCCTTTACTCAGTGGCAGCCTGGCTTTGGAGCTGGTACTCTGAACTCCGAAGATCGGAGCCTGAACCCCCCCTCTGAAGCTTAGGGGCCGTATGACCACAGAGAAGCTGCTACCCTCTCTGAGCCTCAGTTTCCTCATTTGTAAAATATACCAGTAGTATAAACAGCAGAAAGGCAGCATGATGGAGAATAGGTCTGAGAGTCCTGCCTGTGTGACCCTGGGCTGGACCTCCGTTTCTTCCTTTTCAGCATGAGGGAGAAAGGTAAGGGGGGCATGGTGGAGAGAGAACCAGCCTTCAGTAATACTTCATAATTACAACCCTGAGCACCCTGAGTCTCTTCACCACTCTTCAGCCTCAGTTTCCCTACCTATAAAATGGGGATGATAATCTCCCGTATCTCTCAGGGTTGTCCTGAGGACCAAATGAGATCACATATATACAAGAGTATGTCAAACCTTAAAGTGATATAGCTGTTGCCCTGTGATCCTGTGCCTGGTTTTGGAAACCTTGAATTATTATGAGTGCCAGTAATTATTCATTTATTTCTATAACAAATGAATATTTGATAGGTACACTCTGAAGTACACAGCATAGTCCTGCTGTTCTAGTAGGATTCCAACCCTGTCATTTTTACCAAGGAGGAAACCAAGGCCCAGAGAGGCACAGCAGCTTCCAAGGTCACACAGCTTAGACCGAGTCACCACTCTCTCCCAACCCTCCATTCCTCAGACAGAATGGATCCATGTTGGCAGTCTTCCCACCTGCTCCTTCTTCTCACCAGCGACATTTGAGGATGCTCGCAACCCCGAGGGTGTCTGTCTCTCCTTTGGCCTGTGAGGCTGCTCTTGGGAGGTTTTCTGACTCAGCCTGGTCAGAGCCAAAGGGCATTGCAGAACCCTCTGGGAATTCCTAGCCCAGAGGCTCCGCATTAATGAGAAAAACTCTGGGGACAGAGAAGGCCCCAGGAGGAAAAAGAAAGGGAGGAAAAAGGAATTAGAAGGAAAGGTAAGACCAAAATGAGACACAATGATGAACAGAACATCTTGATTTTGGGGGGTGGGCAGGGAGGGGAGTGCCAAGTGCCTGGGCATGGGACTTTGAGCTAGAAGGAACCTCAAAAATTATCTTCTCTCTCTCTCTCTCTTTCTCTCTCTTCCCCATCCCTCTCACTCCCTCTCTCCCTCTTTCTTCTCTCTCTCCCCTCCCTCCTTCCCTCTTTCTCCTCTTCCCTTGCCTTCCTCCCCCTCCTGCTCTCTCTTCTCTTTCTCCCATCCTCTCTCCCCCTTTCTCTCCTTATAACCTCCCTCCCTCTCTCCTTTTCTTCTGATTCCCTCCCCTCTCCTTCTTTTTCTCTTCCTTCTTCTCTCTCTTCATTTCCCTCCCTTCTATCCCCCTCCCTCTCTCTCTCTCTCTCTTTCTCCCTCTCCCCCTCCCTTCTCTCTTTTTCTCTCTCTCTTTCTCCTCTCTCCTCACCTCTCTCTCCCCTTCCTCTCTCCCCCTCCTCTCTCCCCTTCCCTCTCTCTTTCTCTCTTCTCTCTCTCCTCCCTCTCTCTTTCCCTTTTCTCTCTCTTCTTCTCTCCCCCTCCTTCCCTCTTTCTCCTCTTCCCTTGCCTTTTCCCTCTCTCTTCTCTTTCTCCCACCCTCTCTCCCTCTTTCTCTCCCTATCCCCTCCCTCCCTCTCTCCTCTTCTCCTGCCTCCATCCCCTCTCCCTCTTTTTCTCTTCCTTCTTCTCTCCCTTCATTTCCCTCCCTTCTCTCCCCCCTCCCTTTCTTTCTCTCTCTCTCTCTCTCTCTCTCTCTCTCTCTCTCTCTCTCTCTCTCTCTCTCTCTCTCTCTCTCTCTCTCTGTCTCTCCCTCTCCCTCCCTCCCTCCTCTCTCTCCTCTCTCTCTCTCCTCTCTCTTTCTCCTCTCCCCCTCTTCCCTCTCCCTCTTTCCCTCCCTCCCTCTTTCTCTCTTTTCTCTCTTTCTCTCTCTCCCCTCCCTCTTTCCTTTTTCTCTCTCTTCTTCTCTCTCCCCCTCCTTCCCTTTCTCCTCTTCCCTTGCCTTCCTCCTCCCTCTCTCTTCTTTCTCCCACCCTCTCTCCCCCTTTCTCTCCCTATCTCCTTCCCTCTCTCTCCTCTTTGCCTGCCTCCCTCCCCCCCCTCTTTTCTCTTCCTTCTTCTTTCCCTTCATTTCCCTCCTTCCTCTCCTCCTCACTTTCTCCCTCTCTCTCTCTCTCCCTCTTTCTTTCCTCTCTCTCCCTCCATTTATCTTTTCTTCTTCTCTTATCTCTCCCTGTCCCCTTCTCTTCTCTCCTCCCTGCTCCTTCTCTTCCCCTCCCCTGTCCCCCTCTCTCTACTTTTCTCCCCCTCTACCTCCTTTCTTTTTTTTTTTTTACACTGGAGGTAACTGAGCTCCAGAAGGTGAATTGACAAACATCTGGTCACCCAACTAGTCAGTTGCACCACAGCTGGACTTGAGCCAAGATTTTTTGACTCTAGTCTGAGTTCTTTCTACTCCACTAACCTGCCACAGAAAACCTGGAAAATGTGGTTGATAACTTTGTACAAAGAGAAGTGGGATTTGTTGCCCTTAGCATTAACTTTGGAATTGTTAATTTTATATAGTGCCTCCTCTGTGCCAGGCAATGTGCTAAGTACTCTTCAAATCAATAAATAAATGTTTTGTATGTATAGGTATATAGCTATATATCTATAGCTATTTATCTATATCTCTATCTATGTATATATATGTATGTATGTATGTGTATGTGTGTGTGTGTGTGTGTGTGTGTGTGTGTGGTGTGTGTGTGAAATCTCACTTGATCCTCACAACAATCCTAGGAGACAGATGCTATTATTATACCCATTTTACAGATGAGGAAACTGAGGCTGGAAGAGGTTAGGTGACTTGCCCAGGGTCACACATCTGTTATTAATGTTAGATTTTAATAGGTCTTCCTGACCTCAAGCCCAGTTTTCTATCCATGGGGCCACCTAGCTGCCTGGGGATTTTTAATTTAAAAATTATGAGACAGAAACTCCTTTCACCATGCCTTACACCCATTCCTCGCTGAGGTTTGGAAATGATATGTGTACAGTCACAGTGGCACAGTGAAAAGATCAGTGGCTCTAAAGTCAAAGAACCTGAGTTCAAATCCAACCTTCAATGCTTAGAACCTGTATGATCATGGACATGTTGCTTAAATTCTTTGGGGCTGCAGTGTCTTCATCTATGAAATGAGGTGGTTGGACTAAGGTGTCTTCCAGCTCTCTAACTATGATCTCTTACCTCAGCTGAAAAGAGCCTTAAAGGTCTCCAAATCTAACTCCTCATTTTATAGCAAAGGTAACTGAAGCCCGGAGAGAGAGAAATGACCCACCTAAGATGATGATGATGGTGATGATTGTGGTAGTGATGGGGATGATGATGATGGTGGTGATGACGATGATAGCATTTATATATATTATATGTACAGTTTGCTAAGCACTTTACAAATATTATCTCATTTGATTCTCACAATGACCCTTTTAACAGTTGGGAAAACTGAAGCAAATAGGGTAAGTGACTTGTCCAAGGTCACACAGCTAGTAAGTGACTGAAGTCAGATTTGATCTTAGATTCAAATAAGTAATTTAGACTGAATTTGAACACAGGTCCTCTGGCTCTAGGTCAAATTCTCTTTCTAAATCTCTTTCT